ATGTTTGCTTAATTTGAGATCTTTCCCAGGTTGGAGAGTAGTTTAGCCTTTGTTGGAAAATGCTGTTTAGTCAGAGTTTTGCTGCTTTGGCAGAGGAATTCCTCTGAGGTTGGCAGGCATCCCTCCAGATCACCTTGTCCAACTCCCTGCTCTCAGAGGACTTTTCCTGTATTTCTGCTTTTGCTTGTTTCTTCTTGTTCTGTCACTGGGCCCTGTCTGGTCTATCTTCCTTACTCCCTTTCATTAGGTATTTATAAGCAGCTTGAGGAGACACAGGTAATGATCAGCATTTTCAACTGTTGTTTCAGCAAGTGTCTGACCATTTTACTTTGGGTGTTTGACTTTAAGACAAGGTCCACAGTGACCACTGTCTTCTCCTAAGCATGAGTCCTGAGCATGACTTTGACACCTGTATATGAGAGAAAATACAGAACAATTAGGGCTGAGCTGTCATAAAAGAGAGCATAAGGTAAACTGACACACTAAGTTCATGCATAGGCACATAAGTAGGTGTAGGTAGATGGAGATGTATGAAAAACATTAGGGTGTGGAGAAGTTAGGGTGCACAAAAACTGCTGGGTCTTGGCAGACCTTGTACTCTCAGCTGTGTAGAAACAGAAGACACTTTGGGGAGGAGGGAAGAGGGAGTACTTCAGTGTGGAAGAGAGAGAGTGGAGTCCACAACTGATTCAGATGAAAATCTTTAGTTAATCAACCATTCCCATGAGTCATGCTTTCTGGAGCTAGACAATAGATAGTAAAATCTAGCTATAAAACCTGGAAAACCCAATACATGTTTTAAATATAGAAGCAATTTAACTGAGAGCCTAATACAGATAGTGAATACTTTTTAATAGCAGTAGCTCTGCAATATATAAATTGAATAGAGAGGTTTGGAGGTGTTTAGGGTTATTCTGTATATTTTTAAAATGATGACTAAAGTTGATCTTAAAATTCTACCAGAACAGATTAGAAAATTAATGCATGACACAATGTTAGCTAGAGATATAAAGAAAATCTTCAAGGTCATATTTAAATGACCTTCAGCTAAATTTAGAGTGAGATTCAAGCACTTAACAGCAGATACTAGTAAGGCCTATTGGACTGCTGAATGATCCTGATTCTTTGTAGCCTGTAGGTCAAAGTAAAAGTTTCCCAAAGAAGAGTCAAGCACAGTAGCAGAATGTAGCAGAATAGTTAAGTAAGGCCGTCTGCTTGCTAGGGATTGAGACAATCCGTTTTAGACTCACAAGAAATTATTTTTAGAAAGCAGAGCAGTTCCAGCAAAAGTAAGATTTGTTAGTAAGATTTGTCTGGTAGCCTAGCCAGGGTGAGGAGGGATCCATTTGTGTTTGCTGACCTGCTAACTTGCTGACCAAGCCTGCTTAGATGAAAAATGCTATTCCCATGCTTCAAGGAAATGCATTGACAAAGTCTTTTATGGATTTTTTTATTTCTCATGTGGAGTTATTGCATGGGTCCAGCCAGTCTGTGCACTTTTTGTAAATTTGGGTTGTACCCATGGACTTAAAGCGCGAGCTTTGCCCGTTTCACAACTGCACAAATGATATTAAATTCTTGACCCCTTCAATAAGACTTTTAGTGCTTTTCATTTCTGAGCAGAACCGATGTATGCCTGCAGTGTAACTTTGCGCTCTGCTAAGATGTCTCTCTCTTCTACCGACCCACATATTCAGTACACAAAATAAGCATTAGAAGGGAAAGCCTTCTCTCTATCCCTCTCCCTTCCAACCCAAAGTCCGAGGAAGTGTTCCACACATCTAGAGAGTTGCTGTGCTCTAACAGGCAGTTTTAGATCCTAAGTCATTGGTGGTGAGGGTAATACATGTGTAAAGCATGAGATAAAGTGTGTGTGAAGTCTGAATGTGGTAGATCTTGGAGGATGCCAAGTGGTTGACTTGGCGCCAGAACTTCAGAGCAATTGTGCCTCTGGGAGTTCAATCTGAGAACTACAAGACATTTCTGGCAGGGCAGATACCACCGTTTTAAAGAAGTTTAGTCAAACATTTTTAAGAGACCACAGTGTACAAAAACCTGCATGGGGGATAAGTAAACCTCGCTTCTATATAATTAAGTAGTAATTTATAATCATGCAGTTAAATTCTAAAATTGAACACAAATTGCAAGAACTTCATGTATATTCAGACTGACTGTAAGAATGTTTTACAGTAGATAGTGTTTTCTTAATCCCATGTTTCATGCAGCATGGCAGTCTCAGTGTCAAACATTTTAATATATATGTGTATTTTTTCAAGTTACAGAAACTCTCATTTAGCATAGAAACTGGCTATTAAATTGCAATAGAATAGCATTCTTTTTATCTTGCCAGAGTCAGAATTTTTAAAGGAATAAGTCCTACTAGCTTGCTTTTACATGCTAATAGGAGAGATTCACTTCTTGATGAGGATACTGGATTGAGATCCAAATTACTGCTTGTGCTTTCACACTGAGTTTACCATTTTTGTTTGAATTAAAGGGAAATGTCTAATTTGCTAAAGGCAATAATTTTTCTATCCATAGCTCTTTGAAAGCATCCAAGATATCTAACAGGGCAACACACAATGCACTACTATAACTGTATGCAAATACTTTATCTACATGTCTAGGAAAAAAAAACTGCGCATAAAACAGCAGATTTCATGACTTTAGTCCATTCCTACTCAAAACAGTATGTACACTTGTGCATTCTGTGGAGGCAGAGGTTATTGTGTGATAATACACATAGATATCTGTAGTTAAACATTATACAGTTAGAACTATACAGAGGTCTAGACAGTACAGTACATCACATTTTGGGCTCCAGAAGACTGAGTTTGCGGTCTCTTTAATACACCATTGATGAATGAAGATTTTTCCTGTCTTAAGCAGCTTCTTCAGCGGAGCAATCAATTCCTGCATAGGTAAACTTCTCATATAGGGTGGTATTCACATATGTCTAGGGAGAACATTTTTTAAAAGTGTCATAAAAGCTTCAAGAACACTAAACTATATAAAAAACATTAATGCCTTAATTCTTGTATAGGAATTCCTTCTTACCTTTCTTTCTTCTAACATCCTGTTCAGTGACACGAGTATCTGAGCAAATGATGGTCGTTCATACGGTTTCTCTCTCCAGCACTGTCTCATTAAGTCATACCTTTAAAAATCATATAACAGCACATAATTGTTTAAATGTGTAAGTTAAAGGTACAAGTTCATGTTTACTGAAAGGTTCTATTAGGCATTCCATTTTTCATATAAAGTTCATAGCTGGATTAACATTTCTCACAGTTTGCTGTCAGGACTATTTTTTCCTGAAATCAAAATGCTCTCTGAGCTGAAGGTTAGTTGGCCATATCTGAAAACATGCTATTTGACAGAAAGAGTCTGTGAAAGGGTTCATGGCAAATTAGAGTGCATGATAATAGGAAAGGCTTTTAAATAATTACTCCCACCTCCACATCCTTTTTAAAATTAAAATATATCATGATTTGTATATTTTCCTGAAAGAAAAAGCTTATTTTTTTAATTTACTCCAAAATCATGTATCTCGTATAGCAGATGTTGTATAGTTTCGTTTGCAGAGGTAGTTACTTACACCTCATCGTCACAATTGAGAGGCTTTTCCAGTCTGTACCCTTGAGGCAATTTTTCATAGAGTTCCGCACATGTCATTCCACAATAAGGTGTTCCACCTAAAATAGAGTATAATAATTATCTTGAATACATTCTTCATGTATATTTTCTTAATGAAAGCCTAATTTTAGCAGATAAGAATTAGTGACTTGGATAAATTAATTCAACATTAGGTTGTTTGCTGCAGCTTCTCTTTTGCTGTTACTGTTTCTACACTGATTAAAGCACAGCGGTATAGAGAAAAAAAAAAAGTCTACATTTCTATCAACAGCGGGGCTGGCCTGAATTTCTCTACAGTTCAAAGGACCTGAATCTGATTCAATTTGAAATGATTTTCAGTACCCTCGATAGTGATAGGTAATTCAGTCCTTCCTGAATGTGGTATTAATAAGGTGAGATGTGGACCTGTGCAGCCTTCCCCATTTTGAAGATGTTTATATACTTCGAACCTTGAATGTCCCCACTGCAATTTGCTAGTTCATACCCGTATCTAGCACAAATCTATTATCTTAAGAAAATATGGACACAAATTAAAAAATAAGAGTTTGCGACTGGTCCCACACATGATGTGAACTTGAATCCATTTGCATTGGTTGGTTAACAGACATTATAAGACTAGTAATAAAGCATGTAACACAGTCATTGTGAATAGTTTGAGGCTATACTGCAAGTACCATAAATAGTAATATTTGCAGAACTGAGCTTAAAGTTTTATCTGAAGATGAATCTTTAAAAATCTTTCTTCTACACTAGTTGGAGTAAGAGAAATCCAGCAAAAAATCCTTAAA